TAATGAATAATCCTCAAGTTCTTAGTGGATATTGTCAAATCTTTAAATTTTCTAATGTTACCTTTGGTACAATACAAAATCAATTAAAAAATTTACGAAGAGAAATTCGAAGAGAACAAACAAATAATCGTTTATTAGCACAAACTATAATTGCATTTGTTGATGAATTAAGTAAAACTTCAAGTAACACAAGAAACAATTCAAAAAAAGTAACAGATACATTCAAAGAATATCTTAGCGATAGTATTATTCGACCTATCATTGAGAATGCATGTGAACAAGAAATGGATATAAATGATAAAAAACTCACAGAGAAATTTACAAAAGCATTGATATATATACAAGAACAGCAAAAAAGAATTCGATAGAAATGTTTTTTTTTTTTTTTTGTATAAAATAATGTTGCTTCAATTAAGAAGTTCGTATAAATGAAGAGTTAAATAAAAAGAAAAAAGTATTTTATCTTCTTTCAAAAACAAATTAATGATACAAACTAATAATGTAACATATTTAGATTCTATAATTTCTGAAATCATGAGATATTTACAACTCGATGAACTGACAGGATTCAAAAAGGATGTGGGCACTCGTGTATGACTTACTCAGACTCGACTCCTCTAGTCGCTACGTGAAAATAATTTGTACCAAAAGGTCTTTCTCTTCTGCTCTTTTGCATGTTTATAGTGGCATTGAAATTTTCAGTAATAAGATATGTTGAAGGAAGCAAATTTTTTGAAGGTTTATCTGAATTTTGCAACTTTCATCTTCTTGACAACTTCGTAATTAGAAAATCATTTGCAGAAAATAATTCGATGTCAGTTGACAGAGAAAGATAATTTAAGAAACTTAAAGAATCCGATGATGTCTAATAACTTCAGCAGTTCAATAAGTCCAGTAAACAAAAAGAAGTCTAGAAAGTCAAGTAATTAAGAAACTTCACAGAATTGTAGGAAACGATGCATTTATATTTCGGCATACACATTTTTTTTATCAAAGTTTACATATTAGAATGAATATATCAAAAGTTAGTCTATCTTATCCTGAAACTGGATTTCCAGAAATCAAGTAGAACCCTGAGAATGTCTATCATTAAATAATTTCTCCATGAATCGGTAACAATATGAAGGTTATTTCTATTATCAAGTTATAAAAATATTTTAAAATGAAACATGATGTCAAACGCAAGATTAGACTACAGTTGCTATTGTGCAAAAAAATTACTTCGATCGACCACAAATGGAGTGAGCAAAAAGTGATTACTCGACAGAAAGTGAGAACCGTTAAATTTGTCAGCATCAAGGTATTTTTGGTACAAAATCAGGGTAATATTAGAAATCAACTTGTTGAGCTATATTTAATGATATGTAATAAAAATCATTTTTTTCAAAAAAAGTTTGATTGTTATGTAAAGAAAGTTTTAGAAATGATTCATACCATACATTTTGAATGGAACAAAAAAAAAGCTTTACTCCAAAATGCTTATTAGTCCGATATATGATAATGTTCTTGAGGAATATTTTCTCAGAAATTTGGTAAAAGGCTTCCCCTTGGTGTTACAAATCAAATTCTTTTTTTCAAAAAATACTTTTTTTTTATACAGATGATTTTCTCAATAACGAAAATCTGTTTCAGAGCATAAAAGTTGATGAAAATTGCTTACTGTGACACATTCTTTTTTCTGTCAGCAATAATCTTGAACTGTTCAATACTCAAAGACAAGTTAGAGAATAGTCAGAATTGTATGCATTGAATTCTTCAGTTTTTTCTTCCGTCTGATCTTGCATTTCTTTGGCTTTGATAAACAAATCATATGCAGTTTAAATGAGAGCATTCACAGACATTATAGAAACCGTAATGATTATGGTTCCTTATCGTTGTCTGCGACAAAAAATGCTAGAACATTGTGGAAAATGGTTCTTTTTATACCAATTTACATCATTTTTGTATTTTATCAATATAAATTCTGATCAAAATACAATATCTTTATCGTTCTGTTTTCCATAAAATAGAGGTTTTTTATTTGGGCATTCCTGCTAATATTTGTTAAGTAATATATCCACTAGCTTGCTGAGCCTTGGCAAATGGAGATGCTCTGAATGCATTGACAATGGTAAAAAGAATCCGTCCGTTCAATTTGCATAATGTCTACTGGGCAGCAGCCAACCATTGTAATCCACCGCCGATTGTGCCACAAACAGAATTGAGGCATGCTTGAAACTGGCTAACACATTGGGCTTGTGTTTGACCACATGTCTCATAACAAATGTTGTGTTAATTACAACACTGAATGATGACACGTTCGCCAATTATAATTAGAAGCCAATCAATTTCTAAACTACCCTTCAGCTCCGCACCCATTTGCTGAACCAACCATGTGGCCAGACAATTTTGATGTTCCAGATGTTGTTGCGACAAAGTGCAAGAATACTACGAACATGAACAGATACATTTTTGCCATATTTGCAGTCATTTTATGTAGAAAAAATACTTTCTATGGTGTCCAAGACTATGTCACTGATTTTTATTAGAGAATGAAGAATTGGCTTATTTTAATTTGCTTTTATATGTCATTTGGATGGAGAATCCAAATAACAATTGGTACTTGTTTTTATTGCAAGCATAATTTTTCGGTAAAATGATTCCGATTGCTCTATTAATTGTTTGGATTTAATAACTTTTCATAAATGTCACTGTTTCTATATCCATAGGTACATTGATTTATCCGCGTATCAATATTGATTCTCATGTTGTCCCGTATTTGAATTTAGTTTGCATATGCGATTTATTATAATTCACGCCTAGAATCTCTACTTTTTCTTTCGATGTCGTCTCATATTCCTTTCCCGTGTTTTTCTATTTAGTAAAAAATTAAGCTTGAGAAATGATCTAACATATTAATCGATAAATGGAGAGTACTTTTGTTGGCCGCAGAAAACTTGATATAAAAGTAATCTTTCCAAATACATCAATAAGTTTTGATTAGGACCATGAATGATTCCTGTTTGGCTATATGGCATGAGTAGAAGATGGGATGTGAGTATCGTTATGGGCGTATGTGAGTGCATAGGTATATGTTTTGTATTCTATGTGATTTCAACCCACAGCCATCCACATCTACATCCACGCTTCATTTTCCGATAACTTCTAATTTAATCAGGAGAAAGAGATTAAATAAATAAGAAAAAAAAAATTATTCACTAGTAAAATTGATCTCCTATGTTTGATATCATCAGTGTTTTAATTACTTGCTCAACAATGTTCGATTCAAGAATGGCTCTGCAGTATTAGTTCTTACTTTATCAATCAAATAGGATATTTTCTTAAACCCACATCCACGAACCTCACACTCACTCTCTTAAATATACCCATCCATCCACTTACACCCACGCAGCTCTGCTTGTTTTAGTTATATTGGTTTCTTTTCATTTCTTCAACGAAACCACTGAATTAACCATTCATTCAATTGTACAACTATATACCATCAGTTAAAAATCAAATTAATCATTTGTATTTATACTTCCTGTTCAGTTTTGTTTTTGGATGAAATCAAAATACCTCTCCTTGTTGTACATTAGTATAAATCAGCGGCAAAAAGTTGAATCTAGAATTGAATATTCAGAGAAAAAAATAAGGGATGCTCTAATTTTGAATCAACCACATGTTACTCAAATTTTTGTTTTTATACGGTTAGAAAGTACAAAATATCTAGCCTTGAAAACATTTTTTATCAATATTTTTATATATTTTAAATAGACAAAAATAGGTATAATAAATTGGCTTCAATTTGTTTATTTTACAGAGAACTCGAAGATGTTTCTTTTCAAAAAAAAAAAGATACCGTAAAGAAAGGTTTTCTTTAATTTCAAACAATGTTTTATATTTTTCGTTGGTGCATTTCAAAATATACTCTGAACTTACGAAGAATTTTTCGAATCGATTTTGATCATCTTACAAAAAATCTAGAAGAGTTTAGATGTGATTTTCTATTTTCTACACATTTACATTCACATCACCATTTTAATCAGTATCAAGTTCTTTGCCTACTATGTGTTCATAGATGTTCATCTGTTTTACGAAAATTCAGTATCAAATAATTTTCAATATATTTAAATATCTAACTGCGCAATTAAAGTATATCAAAAATTGGTATAAAATCTTCACTTTTGACTCATACTACTTTTCTTCCTACACGCACAACCAATCGATTTATTTACGTTAGCTAGAGCTATCACTTTCTTTCCAACCATTTGTTATTGCTGTTCTTTTTTTTCACCTGTACGTTTTCTTTTCGGACCATCACTCAATATATGCACCGCCCAATAAAGAAAGAGTCTAACAATACGTTTGTTATTATGTGTGTAAACGCACATTTTTCTCAATCATACACGAAATATTAACGCTGTTTTGCTTGTTTTTTTTTACACCTTTTTCGTTGCAACCCCATTGATATACATAGTGTTTGCTTACTGCGCAAATAACTTAAGAAAAGTGAAGATTATGCATTAAATATTCATAGGTTGTTGATTCTGAATATAAGTTTTTGAATGTAGTTTTACTTTTGAAAATATTCCTTTCACATTTCTCTATTTTGTAATGTTTCGAGAATAAACGAAAAAAATAGATAATATTTAGGAATAGAGTCACTGTTTCTTTTATCATGAGTAAAATTGTACTGCAGTATCATCACGTTCCAGGACATTCTTTGCTAAGTTCCCTTGCGATACATAGTAAAAAACATGTCTAAATCTTGTTTCGAAATATTAGATTCTAATTTCGAGATCAGGTTATTTGCAATACCTGGCCTGATCGTCTCAAGATATTGGAAGCTGCAGCTTTTGGCCATTCTAGCTCCACTTACATTTGAGTCGCTTTGTTTCGAATTCGGATAGAACGAATGTAGCTACTTATTTGAACAACACTCGTACCCTCAATATTGCTTCTAAATATTTCTACTTTTTTAAATTTATTTTAGCTTTTATCAATATAGACAGTTACATTGAATGTATTTTCGCACGATTGTGATCGGTGCAATTGCTATTGTTATACTTGGAATTTATTATCAAAACTACTTTATCTCGAAACATCATAATGAACGTCGCGCATGGGTAACATTGTTAGGTACAGAAGACTATTTTCCAGGCGTATTGGCTTTAGTTCGTTCATTGAAACGAGCTAATAGTATTTATCCACTAGTGGTAATGATGACCAAAGATGTTTGTTCAGATGAAGCACAACAACTTATTTTAAATGAAGGATGTTCTATACGATTCATAGAAGATTTCTATCCAACTAGTGAAACGGTATATTCTTATCCACATTTTTTTCACGCATGGAAAAAATTACGAGCATTTGAAATGGTAGATATTTGTGATAAATGTGTTTTTCTGGACGCTGACATTATTCTTCTTCAAAATATAGATGAGCTATTTGATTTAAATGATAATATTAGTTTTGCTGCAGTACAAACATGTACATGTAATTTAAGAAAGATTTCAACATTTCCTGAATCTTGGAAACCAGAAAATTGTCCTTATACTCGTGAACAATATTCGAATAATACGACACATGACAATTCGCCTGCTAATGTTATTTTTAATGCTGGATTATTCTTATTTCGTCCAAATTTAACAATATTTCAACAAATGTTAGAAGCATTAAATACATGGGATTTAACTGAATTCAAATTTGCTGAACAAGATTTTTTGAATAAATTTTATCATGATACATGGACACGTATACCTTTCATATATCATGGAATAAAAGTATTCTCTAAAAGCCATCCACATTTATGGGATTTGTCAAAACTCAAAACAATTCATTACGTAAATGCAAAACCATGGCAAAAATCTGATGAAGGAAATGTTGAATATGAAATTATTAATCGATTGTGGTGGGAAGCATACGAATGGAGATCAGAAAAAAAATAAAAATAAATAAACAAACAAGTTTACTTTTGGCTCGAGTAAAAGACTGTGGGACAATGGCAAGAATACTTTTGAAATTCATCTGTACGAATTTTTTTGTTCTACGGGAAAACTGCAATTATTAATAGATGTGTTATTAATATAACATCGTATATATGTATTATTCATCTTTTCTTTTCTTTCTTTTTTCTGCTTTGGTGTTACATATACATGTGATCATTCTTTATAAAAATAAATAAATAAATAAAAATGTTTATGTTCTACTAAAATGAACCCATATTTTACCCATATAATAACCTTAAGGAAAGTATAACATAACAAGATATTTTTGTCCAAATTGAAAAACGAGAAGTGTGCATAAAATTATCTTGGATAGTGCAGTTAAACTGCTAAATAATCTCATTCGCATGCTCTCTATCTCAAAAGCATCAATCAACTTTCCGTTAGATAGGCAAAACAGAGATGGAATCGATCCGAGTTATACTGGTTCGAGTTCGGTTCGTTTTATGATCTCTAATGCAAAACAATCGATCAAACATCGTTTAGTCATTGTCTAGAGCATTATAATTTTACAAAAACGATGATATCTCAATCAATCATTTTTCTTACACGTTTGTCTACATTCACTCATTCCCTCGACTGAACGAATGATTAAATGAAATAAAATAAGTTTACATACTTGCTTGTATATCTTCCTGAATTAGTCTAATTTATAAAGTTTTACCAAAGGTAATTGAAATCGGGGAATCCGAATTTGCCATAAATTTTTCCAAAATTTTGAGTATGTATGTGTCGGTTTGTGGGTGTCATCATGAGTGTGGAGAAAGGTGTTCATGTTCTTTAAAAGACACTTGCATGTCTACTCATGCGTACACATTGGCAAACCAGCGGTGACAGCACCTACACCGGCAAAACTTTCATCCTGACAAGATTTTTTTCTAGAGTTTTTTCGATCGTTTTGCTTCCGGCATTGTACATTTGATTGTTTGGTGATGATAGAATATGTCAAAGAATTATCCATTGAGAGAGCACGTCTCAATATGGGGATAGGTAGGTGTCAGTTTTGTCCGCATGGAAAGTTGACGACCAATAGACCCACTCATATCAGAAATTCACTAGAGATATGCTACAGGAAAGATATAAATGAAAAGTGACATGGCTTTCTGAAAGTTTCATCTGAATATCGTAAAAGAGAACTTCCAATATATTCGAAATTTTCTTGAGTGCCCCCGAGATTATGGCTTCAAAGATTCGTCCACCCCAAAATCTGATGTTTGGAGATTTCTAATTCATAATTTTTGTATTAAAAAACGTAAACGCTAATTGACTACCTTTTGCATGAATAATGATGATCTATTAGGACACTAGGCTTAGAGATGGCATCTGCTAGCCATAGGTAGCGCCTGTAGGGAAGCCGATGAACAACTAGACGCTGCACTGATAGGTTCGGAGATAGTACTCTTCTGATCACTCTGATCCATAGGAGAAAATTTTCTACTGAGTGGGCCTAATAGATTAAGATAGTGTTTAAGAGCACTAAAAAGTGAAAAATTGTTATTACAGACTGGTCCATACGTATAGTTTTTCTAAAATAGTAATGCATCGTCTGAAACACTTGGAAGAAAATAGCGCTCAATATTTTGGTATTAAAGCAGTCTTTGTCTCGATGTGTCAATACATAAATATGAAAGCTATCTCCGCTTCAGTTAAGGCATACTTTTGGAGCTACCATAATGTTGTAAAGAACATTTTAATTCGAAGGAACATCACAAAATATACAATAGTGCCGTAGCACTATGAACAAGTTAAATACTAATCTCTCAGCTAACAGGCAGTAGTTGCAATAATATTCCTTTACCAGCGCGATGCTTTATGAGTCTAAGGTAACATGATACATTTTGGTTTCTAGTTCGAGATTGGTTACTCAGTCTTAGTAATTATTATTATTGTTTTTGATCAATATCAAACTTCACTGGTGTACTCTTGAAGAATGACTAACTAAACGATTGATCGCGGTTTATCATTTTTGTGCTGACTGAAAACGATGTACAATCGTCTTTTATTCCAGGCGAAATAGGGTGGGTGTGAATGCGTTTCATTAGTATTAATATACATCCAAACCGACACCCACACCCCTACCCTCATTGTTTGGTAGATCTACGACTTTTCTATCAAGTTCGAAGTTGAACACTCAGATATTTTTATTTACGATAAATAATTCAGAAAAATATAAGATACTTGACAATACAATATTTAAATAATACAAAATTTCGAAACTGTTTGATAAATACTCAATAAGAACAGAAAAAATTTAGTTCCATGAAAAGATATTTTTCATTGCATTTCGATAAGCTTTTGATACCAATAAATTAGTATAACAACTGATACCAAATGGAATATGAAGACAAAAAACAGTAATTTGTTTAAGAAAGATGTCTAATTGCACTTGTTCAATAGATTTTTGTTGATATTGTGTAATTTGTTGATGAGTTAAGAAAATTGCTGCCATAGAACAGAAAATAGCATACAGAAGAATATCTATAAGAACCATCCAAACAAATTGTCGATCTTTTGAATGAATAATATGTGAACCAACGACTCTTGCATTTCCATTATTTGATGAAGCAGTCGAAAATGTTACACGACGTAAACGTCGAATATTTTTCACAGCCCATATTCCACATATTAATAATGACAAAGTAGACGAACTTTCTTTAATAATCGAATAAAAACTAATAAATGTCAGATAAAATCCCATTTGATAAAAGCATATATAAATGTTATCACCAATTTGTGTAATATTTGTAAAGGCTAACGAAGGACTATGAAATAACATCCAAAATATTGTTCCACCAATAATACAGAAATAAGTAAAACGTAATGTACTTCGTTGTCGAGTAGAAGCATTTGATGAAGTAATAAAAACTCGATCAATTGAAGCTAAGATTAAACAAAATGAACTTAAAACATTGGAAAATAATGATGTATAATAACATAAACGACAAAGAACAATATTCGTTGAAGTAAAATAAACATTATAACCAACTTCTAATGTTATAGATAAGAGTAATGAGTTAATAAATAACAAATTAAAAATATTTTCAACTACCAAACAGGTAGAACATGGATTTTTGCGTAAAGATCTTTGAGAAAATACTATTATGTTGAGTATACAACCTATACTACCGAAGATAACCAAAATAAGACCACCAAATCGATATAAATATGTTGCTGTTGATTCTAGTGTTGTAATAACATCGGTGGACGAAGATTGTGAAGACATTTATACTTAATCAACCTGATTCGAACGCAATATATTTCTTCGACTGGTTGTACTCTTTAACTTAGACTATACTCTCATTTTTCTAGCAACATGTCAAATACAGAAAAAAATTAGAAGAATGGTTTTCTTCGGTTTAAATTTTTTTGAAAGAGAAAATGAGAAAGAGAATGTCATTATCAAAATGAATCCTTAGAGCAATCTAGACTATGTTTACAGATATATATTGTCTTAGTTTTATCTCATAATATGAGTATCCTGGAGCAACTTTCAAATTTAATCTTAATAGGCTTCATCAAACTAAGTAATTAAATGTATGATAAATTTCTCCTCGAAGAAATATTAGCGTTTTATTATCATTAAAAAATAGTAAGATTTCCAGGCAATGACTGGAAAACAGAAAAGAACTTTGTTTAATTTT